ATATATATATATATACCATACATAAATTCACTATATATATGTCTGCGTAAGGCAGAAAATTGACGACGAAACACGTATGGAAAATAATCGAAAGAATCAGTGGAACCGTAGCCACAAGGGGTACTTTTTAAAAGACTATATGATGGGGACACACACTGCCCTTTCTCCCGTACCTTCGTTCCTCGTCCTCTCCTCCCTCACCCCTCCTCCTCTTTCACGCGCTCCTCTTCCTTTTAGCTTCTTGAAAGAGGCCGTAAATTCGGGATTCTTTTGAAATTTCGCGAGATAGGAGATCAAGTTACCAGGTTTCAGGCACTAGTTTTCCAAACTGTGACTTCTAAACAGAAGCTGATTTTGATCTACGAACGGAACAAGCTACGAATTCGAAATCTGGCCCATACTAAGCACTGGCTGAGACAAACATTCATCAAGACGAAGCATAGCCATTTCTTGATGTACTGGTGTGTTCATGCACCAAGCATACAGACAAACCCTAGGCTGGAACAGACCAGGTTTGCAGTTACGTTCATGCGTTTGCACTAAAGGGTCGTCCTATGAAAATGAACAGGAAAATTACTCACTGAGTAGGTAGTTGTTCAGTGAGTAATTTTCCTGCCAAAACTTTTGAGTGCCCGTATCTGAGAAGGTAGAGTAGGTAGTTATTTTGGGAGCTGAATTTGTAATCTCTAATTTGTACTTGAGCAGGGAAAATACCGTTAAAATTTTAGCTTTCTAGCTTTTCTGATTCCCGAGTTAGCATGTTTCTTCAAGAAGTTTCATGTGCTCGCACGTGAACGCCGTCGTCGAAGACCCGGAAAAAGCTGACCAAGAAGCCGCCACAAAAAAAAAGAAAGAGAAGGAAAGGTACACAGTAGATGTGCTGTCAGGCTGAACCGGAAGCAAGGGATCAGTGGTGTAGTGATAACATTTTGCGTCCGGGTGTGAAGTGGTTTGATTCTGTTTAGGTCCAAAACAGTTTCCAAGAAAGAGCTCGTTCGCGACGTGTTACATCACCAGCTAATGATCCGCTGAATTAACAGATACTTCAAAGATCAACAGTAGACTTCTGTAAATAACAAAATTTTGGCTGATTTAATGTTTTAATGAGCAGGAGCTTTTAATAAGAATATTATTTTTTAGCGATGTTTATTTTAACGAAGTGCAGTTCATAGCGTAATCCTGAGTGTTATGAAACTGACAAATTTTCCAGTTGCCCTGAGCAGTACTGCATCGTCTGGTGGTGACCTGTATACTGCAGTGCTGTATTGTCTGGTGGTAAGTTGAATGAATGCTGGAGTGCTGCATCGCTGCGGTGGCAGGCTACAGGATGCGTGCTGCAATAATACATGATAAATTCGAAAAAAGAAATTCTTTTTTGAAACATTACTTTTCTCCTCATTTACAGCAAGGCTGCAAAACCGTGGTTTAGTCGATGTGGTCATATTTACGTGTATTGCTGAATAATGTGATCAGATCGAAAAGAAGCGATTTACGGTTTTGGGCTGCTTCTTGTTTTTGTATAAATGCATGCATGTACATTTATGCATACGTCCGTGTATGTGTCAGCTTCAGCGTACGGTATGTATTTATATGTATGTATGTACCACATCGACTAAACTACGGTATGTATTTACGTATTTATGTATGTATGTATGCATATTTATTATTGTATGTATGTATGTATGTATGTATGTATGTATGTATGTATGTATGTATGTATGTATGTACGGTATGTATGTATGTATGTATGTATGTATGTATGTATGTATGTATGTATGTATGTATGTATGTATGCATGTATGTATGTATATATGTATGTATGTATGTATGTGTGTATCTAAAACACTAAGAGGCAATGCAGAAAATTTGGGCTGGAACGCTTCAAGCTTGCCCTGCGATCGTGCGTTTTTACACTAAATTTGAAGCACTGAGGTCGTTAATTGTATGAATGGTTGCTGTTCTGCATTTACCTTGTATGCTTAGTAACGTAAATCACTGTAAATTTTGCCTAAAGGAAAATGAACAATTTCCGTTTAACAGCCTTTCTTTGATAATAACCTAACTGTTCAGTGACAATTTTCCCGTCAAAACTTTAAAATGTCCGTACGTGAAAAACACGCATATTTGGGAGCTGAATTAGAAATCTCTAGGTTGTACTTGGAGGGGAACATCCCCCTTCCTTAAAATTTCAATCGTCCAGCTTTTCTGGTTCTCAAGTTAACAATTTTCCCGCCAAAACTCTCACATGCTCATATGCAGAACTCAGACTTGCTGGAAGGTTG